ATGTCAATGTGTCTTGGGAACAAATTCCTGTCTCGAATCCGACCACAGGTATGGAGTTTGCCCAATGGCCCTTCTTGTTGCCAGACGAACTGGCTCGGCACTTAGTTGTGTCAGTTTCTGCTCAGCCATGTACGCTCGTGGCTGTTGATGGATTTTAGGTTGGTGGTTTGCTGCGGAATGACTACCGAAGAGTTCTGGGAGAGAGCCCGTCGGAGTTTTGGAAAAATCTGAACCACCCATGTGCTGCAGATGCTCGCTGTAATGTTCAAGACATTGCAGTGATGTTGTATGGTGACGAGGGCACATTTCTCAATGAGACATGGATGTGCCTTCACTGGCAGCCCGAGCATTCTCGGCTTTCTTCTGACTCAAGAGCCTCCAGGTTCTTGATCACATGCTTGAAGAAGTCGATGTACCACATAGAAAATGAAGTGAACCTCACCCTACAAACAGCAATGAGAATAATAGCAGAAGCTTTCCAAAGGCTATCGGCAGGAATTGCCTGCAGTTCATCTCTCGTGAGAATGTGGGTTACAGCTGTGAAAGGTGATTGGAAGTTTCTGGCGCAAATGCTCAATCTCCGGAGGCATTACAATGCGCTATCTTTCTGCTGGCAATGTGACGCTACAAAAGTATGGGGCCCTTTGTGTGGACAGATTTAGCGGCCACAGCTGGTTGGAGGAGGACACTCTTCCAGACTTTGCCATGGAACACGGAGCCCTCTGTAGTTTCTTGTCCTGGTTTTCAATTGGAATTTGTCATGAGTGACCTTCTGCACTGCTGGTACTTGGGTGTGCAGCGGGACATCATCTCTGCTTGCATGGCCATCTTGATCCACACCAGATTTTTTCTAGGCTGCACCATTGCTGATCGGCTCCACCGGGCCTCGACTTTGCTGCATGAATGGTGTAAACGAAAAGGCAAGGTGTTGCCCAGCAGGTTTGCTTTCAAAAAAGCAAATTTGGGTTTCCAAACGAAGAAATATGCAGAGTTTCACGGCAAAGCTTCCCGAAGTGTGATCATTTTTCAATGGCTTGTGGACATAGCCTCGGGTGGCCACGCTCTAGACAATCGGCTTGGGACTTTGTTGTATGTTGCTGACAGACTTTTTCAGTACATGGTGGCTTTGAAGCGGGAAGGTTGCTCCGTGCTCACACAGCAACAAGGTGCCCAAATCGAAGCTATGGGGGAAGCTCTTGCAAAACTATATCTGAGTTTGCATTTGTCCTTGAAGGGGACGACTCGCTACAAACTGTTGAACCCAAGACCGAAGGTCCACCAGCTGCTCCATACCTTCATTCAGGCAAGGCGGACACTTCGGCTTCCCCTCAACTATTGGTGCTGGATGGATGAAGATTGGGTGCGACATCAGATGAATGTGGCCAAAAAATGCCACCCTAAACAAGCACCTCAACGGCTCATAGAGCGTGTCTTGCTCAGCCTCAAGTCTCGGCTGACTAAAGCGCTAGCAGAACTTGATAAGAAAGACCTTCGTTCTGGCTAGATGGAAAATGAAGCGCCAGATGTTTGATGCATAACAATATTGTGTTTGCTATGTGTCTGATCGGGGGGGTTGCGAGCAGGATCGATTAGCTATTGGCACAGGGCGTACGTGAGGCAAATCCCCCAGCGAACCCCAGTCAAATCCCATCAACCCCAGTCAAATCCCGTCAACCAGGGTTAAATTCCCAAATGTTGGCGAAATCCTTTTCCTTTTTTTGACCTTTCTACATTTGCCAACTCCCGAAAGAGCAGCTTCGAAATTGCCACAGATAAGGTGAGTAAATAATTTGACGGTGGTGTCCTTCCTTCTGTTTGTGGATTGTGTGTCGCCTGTGTTAAGATTAGGTGTGTTAAAACTATGCAAAACTGGCTCAAGGCAGGCTCAAGATTTTGAAGGTACTTGTGGTACCTGAAAAGCCGGCGGTCTGAAAAACTGGCCCTCAGTCAACGTTGGTGATATTACATCAACCAACGCCAACTTAAGTTGCTCAAAATCTTGCCTTCCCCTACCCACCCTCTGGGGGTTTTAGCTCTGGAATGCCTGTATCGTAGATTTTTAACCCTGAAATGTATGTCCAGGTATCCCTCGACATCAATGATCTGGTAGTCGATGATGTTGGATAGGTTCTCGATGATCACACTGCACTGACGAAGATTTGGGTTGTGGAGCAACCACCATTCATGACCAGGGAGACGAACTGAGCGGCTATTCATGGACCGAAAAGTCCACTGTGCAAATCCAAAGCGATGCAGCATAGCATGGACCTCTTCAAATCCGGCATTGGCTTCCTTGGTGGTGACGAAGACTACTTGTGGGTCAACGCAGCAAATGACGATCGGATTGGATGGCCCATCACTGCTCAGCAGACCCTCGGTGGATGCAGCTTCAAAGAATCTGATCATGGCAATGAAACTGTCCTTGGCAATTTCCTGATCAAAGGACTGTGAGGGAATCTGAATGCTCTCAACCTGAGGTACAGGAACGAAGGGGCACGTCGGAGTGATGATAGGATCACTCTCCTGCAGATTGGGCTCTTCGAACTGCAAAACAGCAACCCGGCTGTCCGCTGCACATACATCCCACGAACTTGAAATGGCCATGAGATCCTGGATCAAATCAGCAGCTGATGCTACCACCAAGCCAGTCCGAAGGGAAATCTGCAAAAGAACGTGCGGTTCGAAATGCGCAAAGTTGGCTAGCAACTGTGCAACTGTCCAGGTCTCTGAACAAGAGCCTTCAATCGGATGGTGATCATCCGCTCGCTGCAAAGCATACTTCATAGGGTGCATGCACACCGGCGCTGGTTGGAAGGAGATCCTATCCCAAAACAACCTAGCATCAACAATCGAAATGAAACAATCTTCCTTCACAATGACAGCATTATGCACAGTGAGACGCTTGTTCCAAATCCCTTCAACAAAATGCTCAACATTGATGGACATTCGATTGATTGCCTGGAGCCCTACAAGAATGGCAGTGGCGGCTTGCGGGACCGAGACTGCGTTGCCCAATCCATGAAACGCTTCGAACGGGTCCGAAGGCAGCGAAATGCGGTTGGTGCCTCCCAATAGTGCTACAATCCGAGCTGGATCGATGAAAGCGAAAGAACCCTGGTATTCCTCCAAGCAAGCAAACAAACCCTTATTGGCAACATGGTCCGGATCCAATTCATGTTGTTTACCGTACATGGCACAAAAGGTCGGAAGCGGTTCATGCAGTGGGGCAGCTCTCTGTGCGAGGACTTGCTCCTGGGAACGGTCCGACATGCATCTGGCCTTCTTCGAGGGAGGCAAAAGGTGATGCGCACCATAGATGGTCTTCAGGTCATTTGTCAGGTGAAGTGCATCTCGAAATTCCTGAGGCAGATAAAACCGATAAATGGAGTCATGCCATGAAACCCTTGACGAAGCTTGGAGTACATATGCACGCTGATTGGGATCGAACGAGTGATCTGCACGGATCCAAGCCGAAAACCACCTATCCCTGTGGTTATCTGACAGACGATGAAACTGAAGATTCTGTTGCCAGATGCGCTTATATCCTCCTAATTTGAGCATGTGTGAGACCAACCCAAAGTGCTGATGATGAATGATCTCATCAGCGCATTCGAACAGTTGAATGCTCGGGCGGAGAACAAAGACTATGACCAGCGCTTCGATGAATGCATATCCAGCATCTGAGTTGAGGCCCTTCGACTTTCCTGCTTTGCTCCAAGAAACGCAAGGTGGCGATGCCGTACCAATCGAGTTCATTCGAAAATCGACCTGATGGATCAAGGAAGTGTCCCCTACCGAGGTGCAAACCCCTATGTGTCCACACGGATTCCATGAGCGAGCTGGTTGGGATTTGCCAAGATGATGTGGTTTACCAACCTGGTGGGACCACAAACTCATCGTGACTGGGTCACTGTCAACGCATACTTGTTGCCCCAATGGCGGAAAGGAAACATCATGAAAGATGGCTTCCATGGCTTGAGACCAACCATTGAATGATCCAGCAAAAAGGTGAAAGGAATTCACCGGGATGCTCCAATCCCACTCGGCCACTGGGACGATACACGTGTTCGCCTCAAAATGAAAACCATTCTCATGCTCGGATTCAATCTTGCCAAAAAGGGTGACGGAATCACCCACACACATGTTGTGAGCTCTCGTGGAAAGGAGCGGCACATGTACATCCCATGGAGCATGCGGCTTCACCACAAATCCCAAACCCGGTTGGAAGAAGTGCGGACACAGCCTCACCAAATCACCTTCAGTCGACACAACACTACCCTGAAGCAAGCACTTATTGGAAAATCTGATCATGAAACCAGGTGTTCCCAAAGCACCAGCAACATCCAACAGCTTGGATTTCCACGGGTCCACAATCTTTTTGGCGATCATTGACATCAATCGACTCAGAACTTCGTCACCATGGCCTGTCGATACCACATGTGAACTCATTGCCACTCAGACCGAGATGCGGCCCGGGTGCAGGGCCACTTAGTGGACACCACCCCCCCGATCGCGAGATCAGGCCAGTGGCCCTAGGTGTCTCGTGCACCTTCAGCCCCACGGCCTTGAGCCTAGAGAGCTAACATGTCTATACTGTTCATGATCCGTGGGCATGACAGGGTCGAACTTGAGAAGAAATATAAATTAGGGTGCCCCAAATGAATGGTTTATGATTAAACAACCCATGACAATGGATGACTTGGAGGTCCCCCATGTATGGAAACCCTCAAATGAATTGACCCACGATTGATGCTGGTAGACCCTGCACCATTACCCCTTACGAGTACCATTTGAGATGGCGCATGCAGTATTGTTCCTTCAACAGGAGCTGCATCAGTTACGGTTTCCTGGCGCAAATGGTTTCCCGGAGCTCCTGATGTTGACTGGCTTTCTTTGTCGGCAAACAAAAAGGTAGAACCAACATGAACTGCCGCGACTGCGACAGTGACTTGGGCAAACTCACAGGTTTTCCTCATCCAAGAAAACGTCATCCAAGTCGCAATGCGAAGCTCCGTCATGCTCTCCGCACGCGAGGGCCTGTGCAAGTTGCCAGTCTACCCAAACTGGGAGCAAGAAATTTGAACAAACCCTACAGAACCTCAATCCCTAGGGAACCAAGTACCTTCTCAGCAGGTGATTGGAGACACCGCTATGTAGGTTTGGAGGGTCCAAGTACCTTCTGAGAAGGTACGTGGATCCCTAGGGAATATGAACTGTGATGTTCTTTGGGGTGCTTAGGCCCTGTACCCTCAAGGAAGAGCTTCACTTCGAGGCCGCTTCACGGACTGCCCCCGATGCTTCTACGGACTGCCCACTGGATCACTGGAGGTTCTTGAACGTGTTCCAAGTCCCTGAAAATCTGCCCACACAGGTGTGGCCCATGGGCAAATATCAACGACTCATCTCAACTTTCTTTGGAAACAGAACAATGACATACTACATGTTTGTCGATCAAAAAACATCAAACAGTATGTGTTTCTCTATGTCTTATGTTTCACAAATGACAAAATCATGGTGCATCCCAAATGGCCCATGCATCGCGGTCATGGGGGTGATGGTGAAGCAAGCATGGGTGGAATGGATAAATTTCCACCTGGCGACATGAGATGAGACGCGAGACTGGATTCATACTGAGAAACGTGTTGCTTGACTCTGAGGAAATTGGTCTGTCAAACACCAGACTTCCCAAAAAAAAGAAAGCAAGCAGCAAAGTTCATTATTGAGAGAGACTTCCAGATCCTCCTAAATGCTGGGTAGTTCACCCCACCTGGAGATCTCCAGATTTATACTTGGAATCAAATGCACCAACACAGCACCAGGACACGATCTGTTCTGGTAGCGCCCTCTCCATTGAAAGACTTCAGCCAAGGGTGCCAAGTGCCAAGTATTACTAAGCTCATCTAAGTTCCAGTTATGTTTGTCCAGGCAGTATCTCTTCAATGATGTGTTAAACGCCTGCTGATGTTCTATGCCCCCCCCAAACCACAAACAGGGCTGGGTTTGGCAGCTCATTCCACCCAAAATCACATCGGCACCCCAGCGCCAACAACTGCTACCTTAACCCCCAACCCTCATGACAAGCTATGCTCTCTCCCGCCCAGCCAAGCGCCAAAAGTTCCCGCACGGCCAAAACTTGCCACGGTTCCTCCCCCATGTAGCGTCCTTGCTCCTAGTAGTAAGGCCAGGAGCCCCTAGTAGCTTCTTGTTCCTAGTAGCGATGCCAGGAGCCTCTAGTACCGTCCCACTGTCTTCTTCACAGGGACAGTCCGACGGGACGCTTTTTTCAGGTCACGCGACCGGCACAGCGGGGGGGTCACGCGCGAAGCTTCGGAGGTCACGCGCCTCCTCATGATGGGAGGTTTCTGGAGAAGCTTTTGAACCTCCTGCCGTTCTTCCTCAATCTCCTTTCAAGCGACCAATCTCGGGGCGACAAATCTTCGCACATGTGGTGGTTGATGTGGCAGGATGCGAATGAGACATGGAACCGTTTTGTTGCCGGTGTGGGTGGGATCTATGAAATTGGCATCTCCAGTCTCCAGGTGTTGAGATATGTGCTTCGATTCATTCTGTCCCTTGAAGTCCGTTGCAGCTTTAAAAGGCTTGACCCAAAAGCAACCAGCTGAGAATAGTGGAAGAAACGCTCAGAGAAACATGTGTTCCAACATGTTTCCAGCACGGTCTCTCAATTAATGCAAAAGTTCTTGTGGTAGAAGAACCAACGGATGTTCAGTGTCCTCCAGGTTGGTTTATGGACCTTTATGGACGCGTTTTCCCTTGTTCCTCTTGCGGGGGCTGACGATCAAATGATATTGAACGGCAATGCTCAACTTGCGGACCATCAAGGTTCTTGGAGACTCAAGCGGATAATTTCTTGGTTGAAACCGTTCAATTAAGTGAGATTGAGTCACACTCTGATAAAGGTATTTCGACTTTGTATGCATCAGCTGCTATCAAATTCCCTCCCCTCACAATCTATAACCCCACTGCTTTTCCGATTGTCTCACTGCCTCCTGAGGAATCTGAGGAGCCTGGGCTGCTACCCATGGTTTTCCCTCTTGGAGTCCTCCTGTTGTTGCTGCAACTTGGCGAGCTTCTCTTCCAATTCCTGGCCACCGGCGGACCGGCGGATGGCTCGGCGGAGATGGCGCCACTCGTCTTGGAATCCGAGAAGAGGACTCAGTAGAGGACGCTAGGAACGGAGCAAGGACGCTACTAGCGGTTGGAGGGAACCGGATCCACAGGAAAACAGAAGGTATGACTGGGCCCATATCCTGGCTGGTGCCTACTTACAGTAAATGGACTCCAATCATCAGAATGAGGTTCGGTATGTGGATCCATAGGGAACATGAACCAACAGCGTCAATATGTCAGCATGTCTGTGAGATACCCTCCTAGCAGTCTGTGATCGTCCAACGATGTTCTGCTCCGCTAATTACTTACTTTGGTGTAGAGTTTTGCATTAGATCCACACCCATCCGAAAGCAAAAGACCCACGAAGCCGTGAGAACTGCAGCAATATGGTGTGCTCCAGAAAAACTTGAAAGCTACCCGCATCGAACGCCTGCCACAAGTGATGGAACACTTTCCACCAGCCTCGCTCACTCGCTCCATCATCAACTGGACCAACGGGACCAACTCTCGCTCCATTTTTTTAATGATACGGCGACCACCGAGATCTACACGGGTCTTCGTGAGGCTCTACATCACAAAGACCCAGTCCGGCCACGCATCCCGGCTGCTCTTTGAACCGGTCAGGGGCACTTCATTTGAGACCAAGTCCCAATCATGGGAGTCTCTCAAGTATTGTGATCACCAAATAGATCGAAACGGTTTCCAGTGGTTTCCAGCATACATTTTTATCGCGCATCTACTTTTCTATCTATTTGGGTGTCTATATCAAAGCAATATAGCCTTTGGCCGTGCAACCAGGCCGCTGCCTCGACTCTAAAGGCTCGTGCTTTCCTCTCATAGAGGCTCGGACGAAAGCACCACGACCCTCTAGGTCGGACCGTGCTAGAGGGTCGGACGCCAAAGGTCAACCGGTTTTCCAGCTCCCAACGTCTCCCACCGTCCAGTGTGGATGCAGAGTTTCGGTCCAACGCGTCTCCGGTGAGCTACGGTTTGCTCGGTAGACCCTCTGGCTCCAGGCTCCCACATCCCAAGTCGGTTCATTGGGGGTGCCAGGACTCTGTCCCTTCATGTCCCGGACCGGATGTGGGTCAGGAGCCTGAGGACTCAAGAGAACGTTGCTACGAACTACGAACCACCTCTTTGTTTCCCCGCAATGAACACATGCAAAGGTTGCAAACCCGCGGAGCGCTGTCAGCTTCTAACATACAGCTGGCAACTTGCCAGTGGCTTTCGCTGAATTTCACACATCTGAAGAAGCCCACCAACGGAAACTCGAACTCAACTGCTGTTCAGCTGCTTAACACTTACCGTAAGAACCCCTAAGTGTGTCAACACTGTTTGGGGAAAAAGACGTCAATTTCCGAGCTCCACCTCTTACATGACCTCAGATCGATGAGATCCACAGCAGTACTATTGGAATTTAGGAAACGACCCTGCAGGAAATACACAACCATGAAGGTAAAGTTGCGAGAAACAAACTATCAAACTATCCCTTTTGTATGCAAGTCCATTGTTGAGGGCTTGCACCCCTGTTTTCTTCTTTGCTTAGTTATCTCTTTCGTGTCTCCACCCTGTAGCCTAGCATCAGGTCCACAAAGGTAGCAATGAAACTCACCCGCGGCTGACCCGTTCGTTAGCTCGCCGTAGCGCGGCGAGCTACCTCGTCTCAGCTCGGGCCGCTGAGCAATGGAAACAACTTGTTGAATTCATGCTTTGTTTTTATCTTTCCCATAGGGATTCAGTCGTACCTTCTCAGGTACGGTGAAGAAGGCGACACTGCAATGTAGGTGCCAGGAGGGTCCAGTCGTACCTTGTGAGAAGGCACTTGGATCCCTAGGGCCCTAGGGTTTCTGTTGGTATCTTCTTATTCTTTTCTTTCACTCCACTTCGAAGTGAAAGACCTCGTGGCGACCGAGCCAACTTCGAACCCTCGGCACGTCGGGCAGCTCCAAGGGGACGTACTTCGGCACGTCCTGAGGGTGGCAGGAGGCAGGTCCTCGGAGCTCCTGGGTATACCGAGCCTGTGGGGGCTCGAGCCTGGTTCATTCATTGTGCTTGTTGTTTTCTTGTTTTGTGGTTGTTGTTCTTCTCTTCCTGTGGGGGCAGGAGAAGAAACGAAGGTGCTCCAGGTGATTGGTGTTTCAGATGTCTTCTTGACGAGCAGTTCATATGAGAAAAGGAGAAACCAGTAGCCACGTTTTGATCAATGGCTGGCAAATCGATCATCTTATTCAGTGTGAAGAGTGTGAAGATGTTGAAATGAGATCCAACAAGGAGTTCTGAGGAAGAATTGATATACATCCTGAATGGATGAACTTTGAGCTGACCTCCAAGCCCCCTGCTTGGGATTGTGCATGTGTCACTCTTCCCAAAATCGGGTAGCCAGCAAGTTAAGCGAATAAGGTTTGTTGGTGTAGCTTTCTGACATGAAAGCGCACTCGAACCCGAGCGCCAAATAAAACATGGACGTCTTCTGCACAATCAAGGCATCTTGGTTCGGGCACCTCCCATCTCCTTCCCATAACTATTCACCATCCAATCAAGAAATGGGCACCATCCATGATGAGACGGGGCTTCAAACATGGCCAGAAACAAGCCGCGGAGAACGAAACACGGTACCTCGCCCCAGTGATCTGATCTGAGCACGGTGCAGGTGCTCCATCGAATACCTTTTTTGTTGTACGAGTATACTGTACAAATACGAAGACGGAGACTGAAACGAACCCCTTACTCTTCAGAGTTATGAGTGAGGTATGGCATAGGGCCTTTTCCAAACCAGCCGACAACCACCGCCTCCCATGTCCACGTCCTCTCACGTCCGGGCCATGTCCGTACCGTCCGTAGACCGGCCAAGTCCCAGCAGCCACGGCCGTCTCAGTGCTCTGCAGCAACGTTTGAGTGGAACGGCGGAAGGAGGTGTGAAAGCCTCGCATGGACCGTCGCCGCTGAACACCGTGACCAAAAGAGACCATGTGTTCCCGGTGAATTCACCCAGAAAATGGAGCAAACCACAGAACATCCTCCGAAAAATGACGGCCAACGCTAGGCTCGCCGGTGCACAGTAAAGCATGGATTCGATACCGGTATCTATAGGAATGCGGAACATCAATTCCGTTGCCTCCTTCCCTGCTTCTTCCGGCACCTCCTAGCCCACCGCAACCCCAAAACCGGACCGGGAAGCAGATCTGCCAAAGCCCAGGACTCGTCTCCACCAGACTCGTCCGAGTGAAGAAGGTCCAAATGAGCCGATCCTGCCGAGCGTCGTCCACGACGGGACTCGTGGAGCGAACGTTTCATCGGGGGGGTCAATGAGTCGGCCATCCCATCGGCCATTGGGGTGGGTAATCTTTGGGTTCCTGATTCACTCCTGACCTGGCAGATAGGAAAAAATACATGAAAAAACAAAGATTGGCCGGGTTGTATACACAGGATTGGCCGGGTTGTATACACGGATGTTCTTATTCAACACGATTCGCAAAGAGTCCCACCACCTGTGCTTTTCGGCTGTGCTCCTGGAGCCGAGCAACTTGCCACGTCTTTGCTCCGTGGGCCGAGCCAAACGAATTAAGCGAAACCGGCAGCCAAAGGGTAGTCCGAGATCGTTTTGGATCTGGGCAGCAAAACATATCAAATGCGCTGGTTTCCATTCATGGAAACCACCAGGTTGTATTTTATGCCTCAAGGGGATGAACATGTATTGGGAATTTGGAATGGGACTCAACAATCGATCTCAAGGAATTGACCACTTGGATTTGCGGTTCCCCGCAAACCGTGAACAGATTAAGACATATTCCCTATGCCAGGGGATTCACCCATAGGGAAAACAAATCATCACCTTAAGCATGTTTAAGCAAAACCATGAAATTTTGTGTCTTGGAGTTGGGATTGATGATGTACATTTGTTGTCAGGAGGGCAACAAAAATATATAAAAAAACTCATTTTTGGCCTAGATGGCCTAAGGTTGCACATGGTTGCTGTCATTTGGTCGGTTGGGAGGCCGCACATGTTGGATGTCCTGCCAGTTTTGTTTGATGCGCGTTGCATGAACAACTCAAGTTTCAACATGTCTCCCAACATTGTCAGAAACCGCGCTCAAACAATTTGTTAGTTCGTCCTAAGTTCTTCAGAACCGACAAAAAAACTTCCATGCTCAATTTCGGCCAAATATTATTTTGTACGGGACCTTCAAACCAACACCGATTTTGAACATGGTTTCAGGACTGCAACAAATACAACAAATTCCCTCACACCAGTAGTTTTTGGCCCAAAGCACGTGAATCCACCATCCACGCGGGTCCCTCTTCACCACCACACGTTGGGGTTGATTCGGCACATGCCCACGCACCCGCATGACATGCGCCAAAATCCAAGCCTGTCCTCGCTGGTGACATGGGGCATGAAGACCTGGACATCGCCGAAGAAGGCTGCTGACATGAAGGCCACGTCCTGTTGCCTTGCTTCCTCACCTGCCAACGCCACGGACCCCGACGTTCTGAAGAACTATATACATGTTTATGTTGAAGAAAACATATAAGATTGCAAACATATACACACAAATACATTCAACTGAACGCGGCCATGCTCCAGGCCTAAGGTTGAAAGGTTTGATGTCATGGCAAACTGCCCCAGCTTCCATGTGAACCACTAGCGAACCACACAACAAAGCCACGTAAAATCCTAGAATCAACACACCCAACAAGATCCAGAGGCCACCATACTGCATCACCTGGTTCCAAAACCAATCCCACATGGAAACCGCATCGACCAGAAAAAATTGCCAGTCCACCTTCAGCCTCCGCCAGGACATTGTGGAAGAGCACCACGGACTCCTGCAAAACCGCACGCCTCCCACCCCATGCTTGTGGTTTTTTCAGTGAAGTCTGGGCGTTTGCAAGCACATATGGGGATGAGGATGTCAAAGCTCGTTTGTGACCTATGGTCCTTTAGCTTTCTGTTCCCCTATGTAAAGCGCA